TTTTCTGTTTGTTGCACTGCTGCAATAAAGATCTTTTGGTTGCTCTGAGTGTTGTGGTCACTTTTCTTTCATTTGGTGCCAAAACCAGGTTAGAGGGTTAAAACCCACTTTTGGGTCCCTCTTCCTTTGGAAGTGCCACTCACCGGATGGCCTGAACCCATTTTCTGGATCGCCAGAACTACATCCACCACTGACCTTCGGTTGGTGAGTTTCCCTTTCCTGGAGTCCTAAACCCAATGGTGGTGTCAGGAGGATTTGGCCGTTGATTGTCCGGCAAACCTCTTTGCCCACCTGTGGGGAGGAAAACACCCCACCACAGCTTTTAAGGCTACGGTGGCCCTCAGGGACTCCTTCCTAGGGCAGATTAGATTCCTGGGTTCAAACTTATTCCCTTCCCTTCCCAGATGGTAGTTTCCCAGCATAGGCTTTGTAGGTCTTCCTAGAAGGACTCTGTAACTTCCAGGGACACATAACAGAGAACTGAACATCACCCCACCCAGACCTTCACCGTCTCAGTGGCTCTCCTAAAATCCTAGTCCTCACACCTTCAAGACTCGGCCACCAGAGAAAACCTTACCCTCCCCTTCCTCTCTCTTCCCCTGTCTCTCTCTTTCCCTTCTTTCCGGCCCTGGGAGTATCTGGCCTGTCCAGAAGGGGTCCCGAAAAGCCTTGGCCAAGGTCTCCCACTGCTCCGGCTCTGTCCAGGACGAGAGCTTCGACTGTCAGGATTCGGTGATGACCAAACCCTGCAGCTCGAACCTGCCACTAAGGCACTGCTGATTTTTGGCTCTAGCGGGGACACCCTTTTTGCCAATAAACCAGTTTCCTCCTTTTCTCTTCCACTATCTTTGCATCTCCTTCCCTCTCCCTTATACTGCGTTTGTGTCCCCTATGTTTGTGTCCCCTTCCCTCCTCTTTATACTACTTTGCGACATGGGTAATGTGTCCTCTCTGCCGGTGGACTCTCCCCTACAATGTCTCTTGGATAACCTCAAAACCCTCTCCTTGACACCTGACATCAAACCCGAAAAACTGATCAAATATATCACCCAGGCCTGGCCCACTTATCCCTTAGACAACCAAACAGATGGTGCCCCTTTTGGGTCCCTGGATTCTTCCATTCTAAGGGATCTCTACAATTACTGTGAGCATTCGAAAAAATGGGTAAAAAGCTGCTACATCAAAGCTTTCTTCTTGCTTGTGCTCTCTGCACCTCTTGCAGACCTCTGCAAATTTTTCTAGCTTGCAAACCAACACCCACAACCATTGATCCCCAATCTCCTCCTCCTCCGGACTCATCCACTACTTTTGACCCTACTGATGAATTTCCACCCTATCACCCAGCTCTAATAGGTCCTCACCCTCAACCTTCTGCCCCAGCCCCTCCACTGTCTCCCCCACCTGAACAACCTGACTTCTCCTCTCCACTCACTAGATCAAAAACCTAAACAACCGCCTTTCCTCAAACCATTGCCTCTTTCCTGAGGTAGCAGGTACTGAAGGAGTCCCTCCACCCACTCACTCCTCTCTTCTTCTGTCAGCGCCCACATCAGGTCCCACCAGGTCCTCTTACCAACTAACCCACAGCTCAAAAAAGCTGAGGAGAGCCCTTGGACCCCTATCAGAGATCCGGTGAAAATGGCCTTTAAAGTTGCTTTGTCATCACTGAAAACAGGTTACTAAGAATTGTCCCTTACAGGCTTTTTGGGATATTCACTCCCATCCTCCCCTCTGCTCTACCTGTTCTACTGCTCAAGTTTTCCTTGTTAGGGAAAATCCTATTCTTTTACATCACTCCTTCCTCATTCTCAGATCCACCGAGCTGCCTTCCCGTCTTCCCCTCCTTACCCCGGCCCACAGAAAAGTCTTAACTGACCTTCAGAAATCTTCACCACGGCTGATGTTAGGACTTTCAGCAAAAGAATCTCTTCAAAAAAGTTTAATGTAGATAAACTTCCTATTTTCCTGTTGCCCTGTTTTACTTGGCCACTGTCTGGAAAAATCAGCACTCCAGGAGCTGGACACCCCCTTACTAGTTTTTCACAAAATATGTAAACAAGGCCTCTGGTCTTGAGCTGGGGCTTCACAGAGAAGGCTACATGTCTAAGATAAGGAAGTTACCAACTGGGCTCCATGATAACAGCTGGGGG